ATCTATCAAATATTCTTTAAAACTGATTTAATCTAATGAATATTTGAAAGATATAATATATCAACAGAAAATATCTTATCAACAAACTATTCAGAGTCCAAGCCCAATCAAGCCCTATTTAAAGAGACCCAGAGGACTTCACTACATTCATTCTCTCATACTCCTCTCACTTTTCTTTCATCTTGTATTCAACTCCATTCATGGAGAGCTAAGCATCTAGGGCTATTCTGCTGTAATTTCATGACGGATTCTGAGGTTACGTTCAGTTAATGCAATTGTTTACTTTGGTTATTGATTTAAGTTGTTCTCTCTATGTCTTTCATCTCTCTATCTTGTTAAAAGCAAAGATTTTTGCATCATAATATGTTTGAATCTACATGCATATTGATTATATGAGTTTTAGGGTTTCTAGGTTTAAATTGAGAATCTACTTTGATTTAATTTAGGAACTTTCATATGATTAAATGGTTTTTACTATCAATTGAGAATGTACTTTGGTTGATAGTAATAATTTCAACTATAATCAATTGAGAATTTACTTTGATTGATTAACTTTTAACTTGGTTAGGAGATTTAAGAATAGACATGATTAAACACAATAGAATTTGATTGAGAATGTACTTTGGTTGAATTTATTGTGAATAATCTAGAAAGGTTTTGCATTTGATTGAGAATTTACTTTGGTTAAATGCATGATCGCCCTCAAATTAATTAAGAATGTACTTTAATTAATTTGAAACTTAAACAATAATCAATTGAACAATTATCCGTGAATAACCGATGATGAATCTATCTTGGAAAAGCAGTGGAATTAGCCTATTTAATCATAACTGTTTTTAAGTTTATTATTTGTTCTTTAAACATTCTCCAAACATCATTTTTATTCATAAGCATTGCATAGCATAAGAGTCAGATATTCAAAAGCAATTACGTGTTCGTTGGGAGACGACTCAGGGTTACTTTAACCCTATCTACCTTCTTGAATACTACTTGGCAATACTGAAGTTGCCTTCAAAAGTAGTATTAATTTGATAGTTTAAACGACAGCCTATCACTCTCCTTCTTCCATTTCTCTTCACCGTAGATGACCACGTTGGAGCAAGGATGATTTGCAGCGACGGTGTGGAGATGGCGCGACATGCAGCGTTCGTGGTGGCTCACAGCGGCGCTCGTGGTGGCTCACAACGACGCTCGTGGTGGCTCGTGGCGGTGCGATTGGCCATTCTTCTTCTTCCCTCTTCTCTTTATGGTTCTATTCTGGTTGCAAGGAAGATGATGTGAAATCGACGGAGTAGGCGTCTCAGTGGCGGAGGCGACGAGAGCACAACGAAAGTGTGCTGGAGGAGCGGCGGGACACGATGATTGAGAAAGTTAGGGTTTTTAGTGTGGGGAATTTCTTTTTTGGGATTCGGTGAGGGTTGTTGATGGTTGCGCCAGTGGAGTAGGCTGTGTGGGCTGGATTGGCAGAGACGCATGGTGGTTGTGAAGCGTTGAAGAAGAAGACTTCACGTGGTGGCCTGTGGTGGTTCGGTAAAGGTGGCACGGTTGTTGGGTGGTGGTCCGATGTGAGAATGGAGTGTTGAAGATTTATGGTCCGAGAGTGCCGATGCCATTGATATGTGCCCAAAATACAATTTGGTGTGTTCATTTGAAAAGGTTTGACATTTCTGTTTAATCTGAAAATAAAATCTAGCTGGCTGGGATTGTAAAGAGACATTTCAACAGTGCAGAGGAGAAGATGAAAGCTTTTTGAAAGATCCCAAGTTGAATGCAAATTAGGAATGAGTGGTTGGAAGGAAAACCTGGATGCTGCAACTGAACGTTTTAAGCTAGCAGGAGCTTCTAAGGCAGATATTTCCATTAAACCCAAATTGTTCTCAAAGTTGATTCTTACAAAAGCTCTGTTATTTTTTTTCTGTGTTATTTTAGGAGCGATTCTTACAAAAGCTCTGTTATTTAACTCCACAAATGGATATTTACCATGAAAGTTAAGACAAGTAATTTACAATTTTTTAACTTTTTTTTCCTTAACTCTATGGCCAAAAGAGATCCTGGTCTGCTGTTGTCAATAGAGGAGAGTCCAAAAATTCAGCTTGGGAATTGTTTGAATCCAATGCAAAGGAGAAATCCACTGTTATAGATGTTGACAAATTGCCATAGACAACATTGGACACTTCAACATTCAAACTGTGGCCACTGGTACCACCAACATTTTGCACCTGCTGCTGGTTTTTGCTTTCTAGAGAACACACATACATGTTGTTGCCAAAGACATCCTTGTCCAAACAAATCCTTCCATCAAAGAAACTATCATTGTACACCTGAGTCTGAACAGTTTGCAAATGATAGTTTTGGCCTGCAAGACATGGAACATTCATGTTGTGCATCCCCATGTCCCCAACAGTAAAAGTCTGATTTTGATTAGTGCTGATGTTGTTGATGGATGACTAGGCTGGACTATGAAAGGGATTGAATCACGCTGGACCATCCAAATGCATATTGAAAAAAAAAACGCTATTGCCTCGGTTATCCAAGAACCGAGGAATAATCCTATCTTGTTTTAACCCGGTTCAGAATCGAGACATAAAGCCTACCCCCTTTTACCTCGTCCGTATATGTCTCGGTTTCAGAACCGATGCCTATAAGCAAAAATAACCGATGCCATTTCCCCTTACTGTACTAGTGTGGTACCCACTCTCCAATATATTCCATATGTCTTGGGATCCTAGAAATGTTAGAATCGCTGCAACAGAATTATTAGCGTGGAACAAACCAAGAGGGGGGTGAATTGGTTATACACTTTTATTGTGCCTTTTATTATTTTTCTCTTAATTTTTCTTACTGGGCGAATGATTAAATATAAATGACAGAGTAAGGGAAAGAGAAAAATTACACAGGTGATTTTATCCTGGTTCAGATCACTAGGATCCTACGTCCAGTCGCTTATCTCAAACAAGATAAACCTTTTTCACTAACACAAAACACTTACAAATATTAGTCACAAAGAAAAACAATTTGTAAGAGTTTAGAAATATCACCTCTCTTGAAACCACAAGAGATGAACTTACACTTCCTTTGAATCTTCACAAAGGATGATACCACCTCTCTTGAAACCACAAGAGACGAACTTACACTTCCTTTGAATCTTCACAAAGGATGACCACCTCCTTCGAATGCTTCACGAAGGATGATTCTCTTCCACGCACTTCCTCGGACACACCAAGGATGAACAAGCTATTCCTCTGTCACCACAGTAGCACTTCAGGACTTTGCAGACAAGAGTTTCCTTAGCTTCAACAATCTCACAGAGTTCTCAAAGAGTTCAAAGATCTTTTGCACAAGGGAAGAGTTATTTTTGAGATAAAGAGTGAGCCATTTTATAGACTCAGCCTAATACCCTTCCATTCTTCGAAAAAGGGCCATTAACGCATTTAATCGATTAACATAAATATTAATCGATTAATAATGAGTACAACGGCTAGTTTTTCAAATCTGAAACCCCCAACGACTAGTTTTTCAAATCTGAAACCCCCAACGGCTAGTGTTAATTGATTATTCTCAGGAATAATCGATTAACTAAATAAATCAAATATAAATTACAAGAATCAACCCTAATACATATTTGAGCACTATTACATCAACTTTGATTATTATAAAAGCTTTATAAAATACAGAGATCTTCAATTTGTCTTTATGAATCTTAGACTTGTGCAAATCTGTTCATCATCAAAACTTTATCTTTGATTTTTGCTAACAAGAAATACCTTCATTTTGTAAACACCAATTATCATAATTGGTCTTCTCTAACAATTGTGATACGGTCATCCGTTTATAACTTTTGCTATCTCTCCTTTTTCAAGACATTCAAATTCACATTGATTCTCTATCTTTCTTTTTCTCTTGCTCGATGCTCAGAGGATAAAACTCTGTTACCACTTTATTAAACTAAAACGTTGCACACACTATATTTGATAAAATAAAACGTTGCACACACTCTATTATGTATTGCTCTCTAACTTTGATGTGTATTATTTCATTCAACATTGATGGCCTTATAAATAGCCGTGGATGAGGCCTTGGCCTGTTTACAAAACGAAATAAAAACTAGAAGCAAAAATAAAAAGATTAAATGGTCGTGTGTTCTAGCTAAACAACAATAAAAACTGCAACTTTTAACAACTGGACCAACTTAAAACAGAACAAAGAATAAAAAACTAACTTCATGATACTGAATATAAAGACATAAAATTATAAAATTACCCTAATTATTTAAGTGTATCCCAAAACATCTTCTAGCACCTCACCACAAGTTGCCTCAATTATGCAAATCACCAACACCTCACTAGCATCTTGCCGGGGAACACACACCAACACACAGCGCTGCACAATCTGTGTCTACGAAGGAGACAACTTTCATATATACAATTAAGGATGAGCTGATTTAATAAAAAGATGAGGTGCTAATAGAAATTGATGGGATGCAGGAAGCAATTCCCAGCAAAAGGCAGAGAACTTAGGAAGGATTAACTAAACGGGTAAAAGAAAGACAGAAAAATAAACTATCATGCAAAGAGTTGTGAAAACAAGAAAGAAAAAGCTTTAAAACATATTCAAATAATGAACATAATGTATATTAAAAGAACTAAGCAAAATAAATGTATATTTAAAATAGCTGACTATTTACTAAATCATCTTAGTAATTCTAAAATAATTTAATTTATTTATTTACAATTTCAACTAAGCCGGAAAGGTCTACTAATTATAATTAAATAATTACGCAAAAGAAAAAACAAAAATGTGTCTAATTTTCCACTTTATTGTCCTATATATGAGATGGGATATCCATCATAGAAAATTTAATAAGCGATAGCATAATATTTTGAAATTGAAATATTATTGTTATTGTTTATTTCATTGATATATCCACCAATTGAAGCACTTGATCAATGATAGTCTACAATATGAACATGAATAATGGTGGTTTAACCAAGACATGGTTTCTCCGAATTGATAACTTCATTCCTTGCTATTTTGTATGCCCTTTTGCCAACTTCATTTTCTCTATGTGGAAATCAATGGCATGTTCCTTCCATATGCCCTCTTCAAGATAAGCCTCAAAGAAACTTACTTCCTCACTTGATTTCACAACTACGGCAGCACTACTCCTCGTGCCATACAAACCCTGAAAACATATTATATCTAAAAATAAGTGAAAAGTCCCATGATTTTGAATTCAATGTTTTGGGGTGATATTGTTGATTTACCAGCGGAGTTTCTACTTCAACAAAAATGGAACTCAAATTGAATTCCCAATCAAGATTGCATATGTGAGGTAGATGAGTTTCATCAGCTTTAGTTTTGTCCTTCATTAGCTTTTTAAGCACCTCCTTCAATGGTATCTCACCATCCCCATATTTGGCTAGCTCTTCTTTAAAACTTACTTCAAGTCGCTGAGCCTGTCAAAAGGCAGAGAAAACTTTGGTTTCTGATTGAATAAAAGCTCCAAACGAGATAAGAATGTCACTGTGGAATTGAATGAAATAACAATATTTGCTTAATTATAGTTTGATTTCTTTATGTGAAATAATTATCCTCAAGTATTTTTTTTTTCACTTATATTTCTCTTAAAAGTAGAAAAAATTTACTTACCCCGAACAAATTTCACACAATCTAAGTTAAAATAATTAAATCTAATTTTTTAATTTAATAATATGTTTAGCTCAGTTTAGTTTCAAAATTTTCTTTTCTGAACAAATTGAGTAGTACAGCTTCTTTTTCTTCAAAATAATTTCTTACAAATACTTAAGTAGCTTATTTTGAAAAAATAAATTATAAGATAGGTAGATATTAGAAGGGTTGATGATAATGGTTTAATAAACAAGATTTTATATATTCTATGCTGACTATCTAACAATAAGCTTAGATATATGTTATTGGTTGTATAAGTTGTATGATACTAACTAGAAGTTTTTATCGTGTGATTCGGAAATTTGGATCTAGCATCTAAATCCATTTAAAATACATCAAATTAAATTGAACTTTTCCAATCAAATTTTAGCTAGATTAAACCTATTTTGCATATTTTTCCAAATTAGACATAAATTAATATTTGAATTGGTTTGAGCAAGACACTGGATATATTTTATCTTGACTAGAATCTTTTTATGTTGGCTAAACTTGGTCTCATTTAACTTGATGCAAGTCTGTCTTGACTTTGCTTGAAGTGCACTGAGACTAGGCTTAACATAGGCTTAGTGCAACATAACCCAATGTGGAGTCAATCCAACTAAATCTGATATTGGCTCAACCTAACTTATATTGATGTGGAATGAGACCCACTTGACTTGATGTGGACTTAGAATGACTTGAGTTGACCTAGATCTTGCCTGACTTAGTTAGTCTTTTGCTCAATCTGTCGTGACTCGAGTTGAGTCTCATTAATTAGTTTTAGCTTTACTTGCTTTCGACCCAATTTAGCCTAGTGTAGGTCTACTCCAACTTTTTTTAACTTGAACCTAGGTCAAAACAACTCAAACTAAACCTAGAGGGATTTAAACTTAAGTTGTCCTATGATGAGTCAATCCAATTTGGCCTCGGGTTGCCTTGTCCTAACATAAACTTCATCCAACCTATCTCAGCTTGACTTAACGCAACAATTCTCATACAATATATCCAGCTTGTATTAATATACCGTGGGATAGTTAAGCATCAGCAGTTTCCAACATAAACAAAGAACACATGAAAGAGCTTTTTTTTGTGAACAATGTAATCTCCCTTTTTATAATAATATCAAAAAGGTAAATGGAGATATAAGGTGGTCATGATGTTGGTTGTTCTAATGGAGGTTATTTTTGCAAGTCTAGGGTAACATGTTTAGCATTAAAAGCTTGAGAAGGAGCTATATTCAAAGATTGAATAAGCCAAGTTAATGAGTTCTAAATTTGTGTAGCAAAGGTAGAAGCAACTCGTTCAATCCTTCATCTATAGCATTCTTCCATAGCTCTGAGTTCCTCTACTATATATAAACACTCATTCTCTAACGCGTCTAAGATTATCAACTAGATAGTGTCAACAATACAAGTGTTCTGAACATTAGGTATTTTAAAAGGTTATCGATTGATTCACAACCGCATCTAAGAGTAATGTCGAATCCCATCCGCAGGTAAGGCAACACCCGATGATTCTAGAAGTGGTGTCAGTGAGATTGGAAGCATTACATGGAGCTTCAAACATACAATGCCTTTCTTTTCTCTTTTTTCTACTCTTTCAAAAAGGAAGAGTAAAAAAGGTTGTGTACGCACTCCTCCATCTTTGGGATCCTCTCCTTCCTCTTTTCCTTTCTTTCTACCTATCTAGTTAGGACCATGGAGATCGGGACCATGTGGAATAAGGCACTCTTCCATATATATATATATATATATATATATATAAATGCACCTCTTCCCTTCCACAAAACACACCTTCCTTTATTCTTACTTCTTCTCCTACCTCTCTTATATTTTTGGTTATTTTCTCTTTAGAATTATCTTGCTAGTTTTAAGTTTCTCGATGCTATTCTAGAAGTTCTTGTTGCATCCTAGGAAATTTACAATAGTGTTAAGATCTTTACATCGAAGAACTCATATGATAGTTCCACAACAAATACTATCTTTGCAAAACTGATAATGTTTATTTTCACCTATTTTTTTTGTTTGTTTAAATTAATAAAATCAACTTCTCCAAAGCTTTTATCTTATTTAATCCTCAAGTTTATCTTGTTTTACAATGTTTTTTGTATTTTAGTTAGTTTTATGCTTGTTTACTTCTAATATCTATTTTAAGTGTGTAAAATAAGTCAAAAGGAAGAATTCTGGTGGAGGAAAATAAGTTGGACCTCAAGGAAGCATGATTGAAAAATAAAGATTAATTTACACAAATACCTATTCTAAGGGAACTAAAATCGCACCCAATGTTGCAAACACGAAGAAAAGACTTACTTGTAAGCTTATATTGCCATGGACACCCTTAGACGACCAAAAAATCACCATTGGGTGCTAGGATGACTTGTTGAGGAAGTTTTACAGCCTAAACTTGTAGTATTTGAATCGCTGGACGAAAAATGGCTTGCCCAATGAGTTACAAGTCAAAGAGCATAAGTTTTTAGGCCTCGTTGGGTAAGAATGAAGTCGATGGGTGTGTGTTAGTCTTGATATGTGAAAGTGGATATTTAATTATGATTTGGTGATGGTTTTAATTATTCCTCTTTTTTACACGAATATAATCAATTTGGGTGCTTGGGAAAGACTCTTAAAGGTTGTTTGGAGTGCTGGAAAGCTCTCCCTCTCCTTATTGGGTTTCTTCGTCATCCATGGTGGTTTCCTCTCTTTTAGGGTTGAAGAAGAAGATGGGATACAAATTGAAGGTGTTGATGTGAAGAGGAGGCACAATTGAAGCATGAAGCAACTACTTTGAACTGTAGGAGAAGGCTTGCATTTGTTCTTTAGTTTTCATTTCTTCCATTTGTTGAACCCTAAGTTCTCTACCATTGAGAGCTATTCTTAGAGCTGTCAAAACAGGCCACCCAGTCCGACCCGGCCCGGCCCACCACGGGTTGGTCACGTAATGACTCAACCCGGCTCATTTATTAGCGAGCCAGAAAAATTCGAATCCGGCCCGACCCACCACGGGTTGGTGGGTAAACGGGTTGACTCACTGGCCCACTTAATTACAGTTTTTTTAAAATAAAAAGAATTTACAAACTTTTTATAATTCAAATTTAAACAAATTTCACTCCCAAATTTCACTCCCAACATGGTTGTGTAATTAATTTTGAAAATAAGGAATTTAAATAATTTTTTCAAGCAAAAAAAATAATAAATATTTTTTTTATAAAATTAAAATTAAATTTTAATAAAATAAAATTGGGTAGGTGGTTTGGTGGGCCAACCCGGCCCACCACGGGTTCGACTCGCATGAGCCGGGTTGAAATATGACCCGTATAAAACTTAATACAATTTTTTCAAACCCAATCTGGCTCGAACCCGTGGTGGGCCGAGTTGGCCCGCGAGTTATGATCCATTTGACAGCTGTAGCTATTCTTCTTTGTTGAGATTTAATGTAATAAACTGAGTGTTGTTTATTTTGTGATATTAATACATAATATTTTCCATTTCAAAGTTTATATTTGTTTTTATGCTTAATGCTTGTTATGGCTTGATTATACATGACTTGATTTGTTATTCTTGATGTATTGGGAAAATATGAATTAAACTTAGACTTGAAATTGAATGCCTAATGAATGCTTGTATCTAGGAATAAAACTTGATTCATTAGTATTCTTAGACTCTTAAACTTAATGCATGGTTGTTTGGTGATGATTTGAGGAATTGAAACTTAATAAGTTATCACAGGCTCAACAAAAACCTCTCTTGTATGTTTTAAAAATTAAAGTTTTCACTAATCAATGTGTACTTGTATGTCACACTTTTCTTAATGAATTGTCTAATAACTTTTTCAATGTGTACTATTCCTACAATGAATACAATGACATTTGGGATTATTTTATTCTTAAATACATTGATAAGATGTTGTTAAACAAAGGCTAATGATAAAAAAACTACAACTGTTAGGAAATGGTTGAAGACAAAAACATCAAGATCTAGATCAATGAGCATAAGTTGCTTGAAGATATCAAGGTGGAGAACATAGTCATGCATGGTGAATTCACTTCAGAACTTCTAATTGTATGTTTTTAGACTATGCGAAACACAATGTTGCTTATAGATTTCTTTTTCTGAAAAGTGGTGTTAATGAATGTAATACTGTAGTAGAGACAAAAAGTGTTAAGTTCTTTAAAGATATTTTTCCATAAAGGTTAGTGATATATTTGAACAATCTACGGATAATAATGGTGGTGTCATGTGTTAATATTTAAGTATAAGTAAAAAACATAGGAAATAAAATTTCATTGGAGTGACTTTTACACTTGTCTAGTTGAAAATGATCTAATAAATTTTTTAAAAGCTATTAGTGATGTTGATACAAAGCATTGGGATAAGACCATTAAAATTGAAATTGACTCAATTAAGAAAAATAATACTTCGACCTTCATGGATTTTCATAAAGGAGCAGAACCCATTGGTTATAACTTGATCTTTAAGAAAAAGTATCATGCTTATGATCCACAGAGAAATATAAGTTAATATTAGTAAAAAAAGGTTTTACCCAAAAACCAATAATAGATTACTGATACTTTTTACCCAATAACTAACAATTTCTCTATTTAAATGTTCTTAGCTACAACATATTTATCTATAAGTTAGTTATTTACCAAATAAATGTTAACACAACTTTTCTGAATGGGAAACTATAAGAAAAATCTTATATGACTCAACCTAAAGGGTGTGTAGTTCTTTGTTAATAAAATAAAGTATCCAAACTTTTTAAGTCTTTATACAAATTGAAATAGGCATCAAAA